GAGATGCATTTTTGGACAGGACAGCCCATCATACCTCACAAAAACTGGCACTTTGAATTTTGGGGGAATCACAATCCCGGCAACCAAACCCAAGTCTTCAAAATCCAAACCCGGTACTCTTTGTAATTCCATGGCGGCCAACCTGTCTTCTAAACCCTTGTATTTATCATCAGCTGGAGGGTATTGTTGATCAGAATAATCTTCATCCTCTTCGACCTCCTCTTCTTCCACATCGGACTCGGAAGGTACCGCAGCCCCACCTCCTTTACTGGTTCCTTCATCAAAAATAGGAGGAAATTCAAGCACTCTCCTGGCCTCTCCATCAAATCTTCTCCCTAGAGTAGCCACCCCGAGTCTCTTTTTCTTATTTTTCACTGGGTCTTTATTCCCCAGCAAGGTCTTGAGATCCTCCTTACCTTTAGCCAAGGTTGTCAGGAGTTGCTGGAACTGTGCATTTTGAGCTTGCAAGTCTTTGACTGTTTGCTCGAGATCCATCCTACTGGCATAAACAGCAGACAGATAAGGAAACCTGGAGTGAGACCTGCTTATGCACATGATGAATGATATGCTTATGTATGCAATGCATTCAAGGATTTGGAACATTCAAAATTGTTGTAGACAAAAAGGAACACGTCATATTAATAAGAAGAAATTTGTTAGTACATAAATGCCCATGGACCAAATATTACAAAAATAACTTCTCAATGTAAAAAGACATTGCGCATCCTCTTTGGTGCGATGTAGGTGTTGAGGGCCTCTTGCTCATAGAGTCGGCGGGTAAGCTCTAGAACCTTCTTCTCACTGGCGTAGAAGCTAGCTTCAAAAGTGTTTCGTTCCTCCTTGAGTTGAATCCAGCTTTTCTGCATTTCCTCCCACGATGTAGGCATGTCTGGATGTAGGATGGTGTAGGGAACCTCTCCTTCCTTGACGGGCTCTTTAATCACAGGGAGTACATAAGGATAAGGCATCATTAGACTTTGGGCTCGGGCTCGTACCCACTTGAGATAAGGCTCAAGAGGGATGGAGTTCTTGTGTCCCAGTGTCTTGCTATCAACCTTGTTGGGCCTCCCCCAAGCTCTGATGAATCTTTGGCGAAGTCCTTGCGCATCGTTGTCGAAGTCAAAAACTAGGTCAGGAATCAACATGTCATGAGGGTCATCCCTCCGTGCATATCCAAATTGCCTCAAAGCTAGGCAAGGGTTGTAGGTGATACCTCCTCTGATTCCAAGTAAAGGAACATTAGGAAACTCTCCACAACGATCGACGATGATGACATTTTCTCTGGACCGAGAACACCAATGTACATCAGAGTGAGTAAGAGTCATCAACCGTTGGGACCACCTTGAGCCTTGGTCATTCTTCAAGACAGATTGTGGAAGGTGCGAAATAAACCATCTTGCAAGGAGAGGAGTACAGCACATGAGAACACCCCTCTGTCTCATTGTTCGTGTGTAAAATGAGTGAAGGATGTCCCCAAGCAATGTTGGTATTGGATTTCTGGACAAGAAGATTTTGACGGCGTTGACATCTATCAATTGGTCAGAGTTTGGGAACAAGACCAACCCATAGATAAGGAGTGCCACAATTTCTTCAAAGGCTTGAAGGTTCAATGAATTCCAACATTCTTGTGCCTTCTCAAACAAGAATTTTGCTAAGAATCCTTTGACGCCGCTTCTGGTTTCCCAATGCCCCTTGATGTCGGATGGTTGTAGATGTAATGCTCGAGCAACATCTTCCGGCTTTGGTTCCTTTTCCGTACCGTTGAAGGGTAGTTGATTAAGGATAGGGATTCTTAGGAGTTGAGAAAACTTCTCCAAAGTGGGCACCAACTGGTAATCGGGGAAAGTGAAACAGCGGTGAAGAGGGTCAAAGAATTGGAAGGAAATTTCGATCACCGTTGTGTTGGACGGAATTTGATGAAAAGGGAATCCTTGGATCGGAGATATATCAAGAGACAACTGAGAAGATTAAAATGATCAAAGAGATGATGAAGAAAGCACAAGATCGCCAAAAGAGTTATGCGGATAAAAAGATAAGACCTTTGGAATTTGAAGAAGGTGATCATGTGAATTTGAAAGTTACTCCGAGATTAAAGTTGAAAGGATCGTTTCAGACTCAGAAACTTAGTCTGAGATATGTGGAACCGTATCAGATCATGAGACGGGTAGGCGAAGTTTCATGTTAGTTAGCATTGCCTCCTTCACTATCTGGACTACATGATGTCTTTCATGTGTCTCAACTTTGAAAGTTCGTGCCAGAGTCTTTTCATCTTATCCTTCTAAATGTCATTGAGATAGAATCTGGCCTTTCCTATCATCCATAACTCGTTTGTGTTATGGAGTGTGCTAGTAATACCTTGAGGAGTAAGGAAATACCTCTTGTGAAAGTGTTGTGGTATGCATCTCGTCCCGAGGAAGCTACTTGAAAACTCGAGTTGAATATGCGAGATCTTTATCCTCATCTTTTTTGGTAAGTTTTCGAATTCAAGGATGAATTCTAATTTAAGGGAGGGGATGTAATGTCCAGTATAATTATCGTTCTAATGAAATTATTTCTACTAATAAATTTGTGAAAGATTAGTAAAAGATAATTGTACCAAACACTTGTTATTAGTAGTATGATGGAATTGGAGATGATATTAATACAAGTGAGGGACGTTATAGTCTTTTACACTTAAATTAGGATAGTAAGGGTTTGTTTGGTTATTCTAATCTCTCTATTCCAAAACAAAATCAGATTTTGAGTGTTAGAAAGAGAAAAGAGGCATGAAAGAAGAAAAAGAGAGGAAAACTCATTTCAAGCTCATCTCCATCATCTCTTGCATGTCCCAAATTCTTGATCCATCATCATCATCCTCTTCATTTTATGCTGAAACTTCTACTTCATCAACATCTGAGGTGAGTCCCATAGATTAGAAACTTAGGGAAATTAGGTTTCATGAGATATTGGGTTAGGGTTGGAGAGACCAAATTGTTGAATGCATACTAGTTTTTATGAATGAATAACGTAATTCTAACCTTAAATTGGTGATTTATTATGATGTGTACTAATTTTGAATGGTGAAAATGGGATTTTGGAACACCATGAAAGAACTTTCTTTGTGCTGTATTTTTCTGTTCTTCGCAAACCGCGCTTATCGGGAAGGGCCGCTCTCACCGCGCCCTCCTGGAAGTTGAGTTTTGAGAACTTATAGACCATACTTAGCGCTATAATCTCGCTTAGCGTGCCCTCTTGGGACTTGTAAAAGTAATTGTTTCACAGAGCGCGCTTAGCGTGGGAGGCACTGCTTAGCGCACCCTCCTGGACAGAGTTGTATTAGTGAAATCCCTTGAGTGCAGTTACGTACTATGGTGGGTATCAGACGCCTCTTTAACCTTAGTGATCGTTTATTCGTTATGACATGAATATATATATATATATATATATATATATATATATATATATATATATATATATATATATATATATATATATATATATATATATATATATATATATATATATATATATATATATATATATATATATATATATATATATATATATATATATATATATATATATATATATATATATATATATATATGGTTATGTTGAAATCATATTATATAATATATGCTATGACATGAATTAGCACATGTTCCCGTTCATTCCGGGTTGGATGTTCAGATGGATTGTTGTATGTATTATGTGATATGTGGTATCGTATGGAATAATTGTGTTTTGCTCGTCATTCTGGATGAACGTTCAGTGTGGTGATTGTATGATTTGATGTGTGTGTCATTCGGCTTGATTACACATTGTGTTTTTATGTATGCTTGAATCGGAGTAAGCCCAGATACTAGGACATAAATCACTTATGATGTGAACCTTGTGTGTCATTATACCGTTGAAATGTTATCGTGTGGGCCGATATGATAGGGTGTTTCCACTAGCAGAACACCGCATTTGCATGCTCGGTATGTCATAACACCTTAACTACCATTATGATGCGCTTTTGTGGGTCCATGTGCGGCGTTCCACCAGCAGTTAAGAACATCGTGTGCTTGGTATGATGGGGTTGTGATGCCACTTAGGCAATATCACAGCACGAATAAAATCACCTCTAATGGTGCCTTGTAGGCAAGATCATTAGGCTTTCACCTCGTGGGCTCGTGTTATCGAAATGGCGTTTTTACACCGACAGTTAATAATGTGTTTGGATGACGGACGAGTTGTGATGCCTTATCGCTAATGTCACTCTAGAACTTATAATTGATGGAATTCCTCTTAGGAATGATCCAGATCATCGTGCTATGATTGAGGCAAGTTTTCGATGGGGTGCACGGGTGGAACTCACTGAAGGTGTGATAGTGTAACCTGAGTAGAGGCAAGTAAACTTACTCCTAGATTCATCATACACGGGTACGGGTCTGCATACTTGTTTGTATTTTGATTATGTGTTTGTTATTACCTCATTGGATAATTATGGGACTTCCAATGGTTGTGTATCGTTGATGTGTACTTGAACCCAGTCGTGAGAGAAAACTCAAATTTGTGATGGATCTTTTTTTATGCATGCATCCTGTAGAATTGAGTGAACCCTTAAGATAGGGGGCTCACTGAGATTTAGTAATCTCACCCCATCCATCATCTTTTTCAGGTTCTTCGAGGTAGGATCGAGGCAAGGATAAGATGACTTAACTTGTTGATGGTGCTATGTGGCGATGTTTCGTTTTCTTTTGGATCTTTATTCTACGTTTTCTGGATATGCATTAGTACTTTTGAAAATTGAATTGTTTTGGCCATGACGATTTCGGCAAGTTGTAATTTGTACTAATACATATTTCTATTTTTGCTGCTTATGTATGAATGTTTATGTAGCATTTTAATACCATATGCATATATCCTAGGCAATGTATGTGTGGGGTGTTAAAACTGAAGCGGTCAAGAAATGGTGCCAGTACCTGATAGGACAAGAATTTCACTTATACATGGATCAGAAAAGTCTTCGCAGTTGGTTACTTCAGAAAATTCAAACTCATGAAAACCAGAAATGGACATCCAAATTGCAAGGGTTCAATTTTAAGATATTTTACAAACCTGATAAGTTTATAAGGCTTTAAAAAAAGTAGGATTCTGATGGAAAAGCAAGCCAATACAAAAAAAGCAATTTTACCTTTAGATCTGGTGATTTGGTTCTTTTGAAACTCCAACCTTATAGACAATCCATCGTCCATAAACGTGTTTCCCAGAATCTTGCTCAGCACTTCTTTGGCCCCTTCACCATCATCAAGCGTATTGGTGAGGTTGCTTATCTGCTTGATCTCCCATCTTCCTCCTGTATCCATCTGGTGGTCCGTGTATCTCTTTTGCTACCATATTTTGGACAAAATCCACTTGGTGATTTTTGCCCCCTTCCTCTTCATCCCAATATCCCATACTCTAACCCCTTAAAGGACTTCAACCAAGGTGTTATGTTAGAATAGACGGAGGAACTAAGACAACTTTGCATCTTAGAGGAAGATAAAGTTAAGTTTGATACAAAGGGAGAAAAGGAAAAAAAATTGGATCTAGTTTCTCTCATCAACTCTACTTTTAATGATAGTAAGAAAGCCAACAACTCTTCAGAGACTTTGAAACCATACACGTAAGTGTCAGCTACTTACACCACTCAAGACATGTGTGACGAAATGTAGTCCCTACATGCCAGCTATATGATTCACACAAAAACCAACTCACACACTCCAATTCCACCAATTCACCCTAATTCGTCTTTAACCCATCATTTGGTTGTGTCCTCTTCATCCGGCCAAATTGAATTGTTCAGCCCAAGTCCACCTCCCAACTCTAAAGTGAACCTTGAGGATAAGGTTCTCAATGGTCCATTGAGTATTGATAAGAAGTTAAATAGGACCATTAGAGAAAAGAAGAAACCCAATCATTTTAAGGACTTCTATTGTTAAAATACGGGTCTATGTAGCATTAGTACTTGTTATTTGTTGAATCCTAGATATTTATATTGTATGTTGTTGTTCTTGAAGGATCAATAAAAGTTTCTAAAATTTTAATTCTTATGTTTCTCTTTTAATGCAACCTAGATCTATCTTTAACGTAACATAGTCTATCACATTGCCTGAGATAAAAATATGGCTTAAACTTTAGATTGAAACTGACTCTTTTATGGTAGTCAAGATTTTACAAAGGAGTATCTTATACTTTGGAAACTCAAAGTTATATGACTTCATTGTAAAAATATAGTTTTTAATATGTCTTTTGTTATAGCTAACATATATAGAAACGAAAACTCTTGTATGAACTTTTTTGCTAACTTGTGTTTCATCTCTAATACTTGACTTTTTTAAGCCAATTTTATACAAATTAGAAGTGATTTTTTTTATTAAAAAAAACATATTTATCTTGTCTTTTGAAATAGATTTAGATCTGAATATAGATTGGTCCTCATGATCGAATATTTTGCACACGGATGATTTCCGGAATGTAGTTAGTTTGTATATATGTTTTATGGCAATTATCGATACTTTTGTTAATATTCATTGACAAAATCCCGACTTAGTTTGTAGATATGTATCCTTTGTATATAATCGAGTTTTCAATTAATTTGTGTGTCGTTTGATAGTTTTATGTCTTTTTGTAGGTATTGTCGTAGATTTGGAGTATTGAGGAATAAAGTATAGAAAGCACAGCCCCGGAGACGCATTTTTGGATGCATTTTTGGAAGTTTTATGCAAAATGGTGTGCTTAACGCGCTAAGTCCGCTAAGCGCGGTGCCCTGATATTTTTTTGGCAAGGAGTTTGGCGCTAAGCTTGGTATTTGGCACTTAGCGCCATTTAAGGCGGTTTAATTAATAAATGAGTGCGCGCTTAGCGCCATTTCCGCGCTTTGCATGGTCTATGATTTACAGATATGTATATATAGTTTAGAAACAGATTTTGTTAGGTTTTATCATCTCCTCCTTGACAAGGTGAGTTGTGATCCGATTCTTTGTAGTTTAGAGGTTCAAACAACATCATTGGGTGGTTCATCACGTCGTTTGGTTGCAGGTTATCTCTGATTGCATCGACACTGCGAGAAGTTTCTGCATGTTCTCCTTCTTTCATGTGTTTTATTCCAATTTTAGGTGTTGTATGTGTATTTTACTCTTATTGTATGTGAATTCGTTTATCATTGGATTGTATATATGCTTGCTTTACAAATCATTATCGATGTTGTCCTTGATCTTTTTGCTTTGCGTGATTCGGGTTGGCATAGACATATGCCTCACGGATCTTGATTAGGGATGAATGTTTATTAGTTTCTATATCCTAGACATAGATTTAGAGTTGATAATGTTTGTGGGTATCAGAGCTTAATGTCTCTGTGTTGTTTGTGTCGTGCGCGAAACCACTAAAACGAGTGATATGGTTGTCCATGACTTTGCGTTAGACATAACCTCTATTGTGGTGCGCCTCGAGCGATGTTAGATGATTTTGATGCGTATTGTAGGTTGTGTGCGACTGATCTTCTAGTTTAAGTATTTGATGGGTAGAATGAAATGTGATTCTCTAATGAATTCTCTCGAGCTTTAAATGATTATTTATTTTCATTATTTATCTGCTTTATTTAAATTCCTGCATTTTAATCCTACAAAACCATTCTAAATTTTGATAGATTGAAACTGTTGAATGGTAGTTTTTCTCTCGCACTAATCCATGTGGAGACGATATGATATATCCTATAAAAATACTTACTTTTGCTTGCCGCTTTACTGCTTCAGGAAAATAGTGTCATTATCAGGGATTGGTGTTGATATTAATTACATCGCAATGGTTTTGCTTTCTAAGGTTAATAAATATGTTTATATCGTATATTTGTATATGTTTCTCATACTTGTGTATAATGTATACTTGTTTGTATAGATATTGTCATAACGGGAAAAAAATAGAGAGTCGCCACCATTAAATTTTGTCCTAAGGATGGGAGAATAACGAATAACAATAATTCGTACAGAGATTCTAAATTCATAAGTCAATTAGATAAAGGGAATGTGTTAGACACTCTTCATCTCCCTTGTTCTCAAGGGGCTTCGCTTTTAGGTTTAAGGGTAAGATGAGAATTTGGTAGTAAATGTTTATATATATTAAGAAAAAGAATTTTAGTTTTTTAGTTATGAACTCGCCTTGGTTTAAACCGCGTGCCTGTGTATCTCCTTGTGAAGAATCAGAGTCCAAATTCGTAGTTCGAATGTGTTTGGTTAGTTTTTTATGGATTGTAGAAATATTTTCAATTCTCCTTGAACCTTGTCTGGGTTGGAAAATAGCGTAGACGTAGATGCAATTCATAGTTAATATAAAATATCCCCACAATTCTCTTTTTTTAAAATAAAGTTAAATTTAAAATTAAGTTAGTAAAAATATGTTAGTATTTGATTGGTTAGTTTTCTTAGAATACATGATGCAATTTGAGGAAAAAAGTTTTGAATGATAAAAATATTTGATAAAATAGAAAGAAAGTGAGGCTAGTATCTTATTATTAAAAATATATTAAATATTTTTAATAATAATCCAATATTTATTTATCAAAATAATTTATGATAAATGCATAAATATTTTAATGCACAATAAAAAAATGATAAGAGAAAATTTGATGATTATTAATGCATAAACAAATAAATAATAAAACAAATTAAATAAATTAAATAAAATAATTGAATATATAAACTATTTAAATAAAGTAGAGGGGTGTATTTTTAATTATCTTAGTAAAAACAGAGGGACTGAATAGTAAGGGCTTAAGCCCAATTGTTGTTTCAAGTCCAAATGTACAAGGGGGTGTTAGTTTGTATTGAATAGTAAAAGCAGGGGTGCCAATAGAGATGGGCTGGATCCCAATACAAACTCTAGATCCATGTCAGCAACGTGTGGGGAGAAACATATGTTATAGTAGGCTAACACAGATCTGGCGTGTTTATTCAATCCAACGGTCCTCAAGATCTAGTCCTTGGGTGTTGATTGGTAGGTAATCAGAATGGAGGGATGTGATTAAACATTGACTAAGGGAGTATTATAGGGATAAACACATGAGATAAGTTAAGGTATGTTGATCACATGGCCATCATGAGGCCACGTGTCTAACATCAACGAACGGAGGGAGCTCTATAAAAGAGAAATCCTAAGCTCTTGGATCATTTTTCCTCTATTATCTCTCTCTCTCTCTCTCTCTCTCTCTCTCTCTCTCTCTCTCTCTCTCTCTCTCTCTCTCTCTCTCTCTCTCTCTCTCTCTCTCTCTCTCTCTCTCTTCACAGAACAAACAAAACCTTATATATTTCTAGAGAGAGGCTATGCCTTCTCTCTAAAATCTAACCGCGCCTAAAATATCCCCATCATATCGGCCACCTTACACCACCGTCAATGCCACCCTTCTTTCTAGTTTTCGGTTGACATTCAATTGAAAACTTCAAATATTCATCACAACCACCGTCCAGTTTCATCCCTAAACCTAGATTCATATGAATCTTTATAAAAAACCCAGAAAATGCATGAGCAACAACCCTGAACCCTAGGAACCCTGACCTAACCCAAAACCCAGAAACCAAAATTGGTAGAACGTTGGTGGTATTTTCCGGAAGAGGTCTTTAATTCTCCTATCATTAACTGGGAGAGGTGAATCTGTCCAAAAGAGGACTTTTGTTTTGTTGATTGACTTTTCCTGCAAGGAAGAGGGTTAGTTGCATGCATATGTATACATGGCTTGACGATATTCTCAAAGTAAATGAGATTATATTGTATGCATTTATCATGTATATAATATGATGTATGGAATATGATGTATGGATGTGAAATATTATAGAAGTGTATCTTTGTCTCGGAAAATAAATCTTTGACAAGTGTTGGGGAGCTTTGGGAAGTTAAATCTCGGAATGTTGTTGGGGATGAAGAGCATGCACGTCTTCAAACCTTGTTTAGAATGTTTCCGATGGGTATTCTTGTTTTGTTGTTTGGGGAAAACTCCGCTGATGAACATTGATTTTGCTTGAGGGAAACTATGCGGAGAGTGATGATTTCTGCTTGAGGGAAAGAGCTCAAGAGTTTTATTCGTCCTTTTCTCTACTGGGGAGTTATCTCTTGATTAGAGAGAAAGGAAATTAGATGTTATCTGGTAGGATCCAGGCTTTGCAACAACTTGTTGGCGATAAAGAAGTTAATCGTTATCTGGTCGGATGCCAGGCTTTGACGCCACTCACTGGGGATAGTGGCAAATTCTACTGGGGAAGAGGAGTTTTGTTAGGGATTTGAAGAAGTTAAACTATTATTTGGTCCGGTCCAGGTTTCGTAGTAACTCAAACAGTTA